CCCCCACACACACACACACACACACACACACACACACACACACACACACACACACACACGAGACGGTGAGTGATGTGACTTAAGTGGATTAGAAGATCTCGAGTCACTTGATCTGTCAGACTAAATGGATTACTTTAGATTGCCCAACAAAACCTTCTCAGTGTGAAGAGGCCGACTTTCAGACAGTTTGATCAGTGTATGCTAATAGTAGCATGATTAGCATGTGTATGCCCGAAAAAAAGAGCCGAATCTCATCTCAGTGAAACGTGGACTCAGAACAAGCTCATTTGATCTGTGCTAAGAAAATCATCCAGATGCTAACGTAGTCAGCTTGTTGTCATAAACCAGACCACGGGAACACAGATTCATATTTCACGTTGCAGATGCAGAATGTGGAGGCAACGGGACAACATTTTGGTATCGGAAGCGTTCTGGTTTTAGTATCGACCAATCGCGTTGGAGCAGGCTTTGGTTGAATGCAGGTAAACGATCCGTGTGGAGAACAACTGGTCCGACGATGATTTAGCTTCTTATTGGTTTAAAATGAGCTCTTAAACTGGCTACTTGTGGAACAATCCGGTCTAAGACGTCGTCTCCCAACTCCAGCTCCACATCTCAAGTGTCTAATAAGTCATCAACGAGCTAGGAGCCCAAAAGGGAAGTCTTGGCCCGGATTTCAGTAGGTGTTGAGTACAGGAGCTCTCTAGTGAATGTATTCAGTATAGAGTGCATCTATATAATGAGATGGAGCTATTCCCCTCCGTCAGTCCCCAGGGAGCCATTTGTAATATAGAACCTCTCCCACGGGCGGGTTTAATGAGCGACGGTGGAAACAGTGAGGGCTTCTGGGAGTCTGTAGTTTTTATTATCAATTAGCACAAAGCAGTAAGAGAATCAGATTGATTATTCACATCTATTCATTCGTAAAGTTGTTCTAACCCACTCAAAGTAGTCAATCTCTTGTCTTTATTTGCTCTAATTTTCTCAACATTTCAGCTCCATCTTGGTCTCTAATGTTCCTAGAGAATTAGTTACACCAGCAGAAAGTCCTATTTCATGTGTTCTAGTCGACACATGTATTCATATCTCTGTGTGAGGGCTCAAACTACGTGTCGTGGTCACTTCCTCTCGTAATAAAAGGCTTCCGGCAGGTTGGCTGCCTGTTACAGTAGAGACCTTGTTTGTCACCCGTGTCTTTTTTACACTGTACCCAACTTGGTTAATCCCTATTGTCCAGTCAAGCCTCATTAATCTGCATAACTGATATGAATGAAGGGGGACCGAACACCCCCCCCCGGAAAGGAAGTGACCTGCTTGTCTGGACAGGAATCAGGTCACGGCTACGCAGCAGGGCGACACCGATTCTGTTTGTGTCCACACAAGAGCAGCAGCTACAGATTCTATCCAGTATCTGCAGATTCATTTCTCTATTTATTCGATTCATCATCTGGTCAATGAAAAAAAAATAATCTGTAAATAGTGGAAGATTCCCGTCACGATGTCCCGGAGGTGATGATGAAGTGTTCAGTTTAGTATAATGTAGGACAAGGCCTCACAGTGGAGGAGATGCAATCAGTGAATTTTGGGGCAGTTTCCCCGTCTTTAAACGATGAATCGGTTATTAAAATAAGTGCTGATTAACTTTCTGTCGATCAGCTATTCGTTGAAGATCGGGTTTCACATGTGAGAGTTTCTGCATGTTGATCATCGTCTCTTGGAAGGTTATCGCTCTGCAGGGCAGCTCTACTGTCTCCTTGCTATTATGGTTTATTATATATCATCTTGTCTCTCGTGAGCAATAAGGATCCATAACAACATCCCTCTCAGCAGGTGAGGTGGATAAGATGAATAAATAAAGTAACAGCACTGAGGTCAGGGCGGGACAGGGTTGGAGGAGTTTCACTGCATGAGGGCCAGTCTCTGTGGAGATGGCAGACACCCCGAAATATCCAAACACTGAATCATCTACCTAACGGACCTTTAGCTGTCAAACACACTTACATCTGACATCAAATACAAGTGGATCCACATCTCTAGAAACACAGTAATGTGTGGCCCACCTCTTTGTTCCTACGCCTCCCCTTCCTATGCAAATCACCGCCCCACTATAAATACACCTATCCCTCCAGCCTCTCCTGCATTGTCACACAGGGGGCTTCATTCACCCGACTTCAGGACTGCTCCTCCTTTTCCCAGCCCTCCACCGCAGGATGACTGCGGTGCTCTGCCCTCCTTCTATCACAAAGTGCTCCCATCCATCCTCCCTACTGTTGCTTCTCCTTCTGCTTGCCGGGCCGAGCAGCACCAAAGCTCTCGGTCCTCGTGGAGCCACTGGCTTCAGGTCCACGCTCTCTGCAGGTGAAGGCGGACCGTGGTGGGGGTCGCGGGGCAGTTCCTCCGGCTGCATCCCCGTCCCGTCAGGCATGGCCTTGTGCCAAAACATCGGCTACGACACCATGAGGATGCCCAACCTGCTGGGCCACGAGTCTCCGGCCGAGGCGGTCCAACAGAGCGCCAGCTGGCTGCCGCTGCTCGCCAGAGAGTCACCCTGACGCCCGCATCTTCCTCTGCTCCCTCTTTGCACCGCTCTGCCTTGACAGGTACGTTCACACGAAAATGGGATTTCCTCTTCCATTGACAAATATTGTCAACTTTGGCAACCAAAACAATAACAACATATATGTGGCTATTGCGAGTTATCAGGTAGGCTGATAAATAAATATGAAATAACCACATTGTTTTGTAAACTCTTGTGGGAATTAAATACTTAAAAGTCCTATTATTTCACTAAATTAAGAAAATTGAGTGCAGAAAAATCTGATTTTCTGAGAAATTCAAGTTCGTACGTGCTTGTTTTTGATCAATTTAGACGACGTTATTGTGTAGAACGATATTTCCACATATGATTTCATCACGATACGCTTCCATTGAAGTAATGATCATTTGAAATTATCGCCCGGCCCTACGGTCAACCGTTTTAAGTTTGAGTTTTTGTAGGAACTGTGATATTCACAGGACAAGCTTTTGTTTTGTAGTATAGTAGCCAGATTCATAGTATAAAAAAAGATACTAAGATTAGCTACAAAGTTAAGCAGGGTCATAGGTTAACACCTGTTTGAAAGCTATACAGAGCGATGCCTGTATCTGAGGCGCAACCTCCGTCGAAGCACTATAATCTCCTTTTCCTCACGTTAGCACGTCTCAGTTTAAAGAAAAACAAACAACCAAACGTGATTGAATCCAGTCCACTAGTCGTCCCCCCCCCCCCCGGATTCTTAGAGGTAAGAATCCGGCTACATAGACGCATACGCTTCAGTCGGCTTCGTTCAACAAACCATTTAAATAGCGGTTTTACCGTTTCAGTGCCTGGTGGCAGCCGCGCGCAAGTGGAAACATCACAGATGCAGGAGCTAGGATCGTGTGCTATATATAGGTCAGAAGATTCAAAAAATAACTGAGCTGCATTAAACGGCTTCAAAGTGTGCGTAGCATTTAGAAATCAACTAAAAACCTACCGACTGTGAATTGTGCAAATTATCACGCAAACTTCTGTGGTTATGGTGGAGATGTGCAGCTCATGAAGTACCAACACTGTGTCACTCAGGAAGTGGAGGTCAAAGAAATAAAAAGATGTTTAATAGAAAATGTACATATCTGTGAATTTTAAGTAAATAATCGCTGGTCTATATTTGTACGGCTTTGAGAATAATTAAACGCGTGTGTTGTAAAGACCCCATGAAATGTCATACATTTATGAAGAGCAGATATAAGACTGCAGTGCACTTACCAAAGAGCAGAGGTTTCAGGCTGAGCGTCCTCATCTCGTGGGTTCGGTCTGGCACGAGGGACACCTGCTGGACATGTCCCACCTGTAGATGGACAATAAGCATCGTCATCACATGCAAGAGGTTTAAATGCATGGGCAGAGCTACAGTGGCTCTATGTCACATTAAAATATGGTTAGTTTGAAATCTGATGCATGTAAAATATCAGTACTCGTATATGGGTGGCACTGGCGGTGCTTGTGTATGGGTGGCACTGGCGGTGCTTGTGTATGGGTGGCACTGGCGGTGCTTGTGTATTGGTGGCACTAGCGGTGCTTGTGTATGGGTGGCACTAGCGGTGCTTGTGTATGGGTGGCACTGGCGGTGCTTGTGTATGGGTGGCACTGGCGGTGCTTGTGTATGGGTGGCACTGGCGGTGCTTGTGTATGGGTGGCACTAGCAAGGACTGTAGGATCGTCCATCAGTGATTATCGTACTGAATTTATGTCGTTTTTCTTACCCGTATCCCCTCGATGCGTGGCAGACTGAAGCTCTGACTGTAGTCCTCCTCCATGTGGAGCTCCTCTCTTGAGGCTCCGCTAGTGCTGACCTCTGGTTTGGCCCCGTCGCCGCTGACCACATCCCCGGGCCCGTTGTTGTAGTGCACGTAGAGTAGCAGGCCGATGACGTTCACGATGTACACGTGGAAGAACACCATGACCACCACGAAGTAAGCACGAGAGCAGACGTTACTTCTCTGGATCTGCATTCTGGTGGAGGCGCGAAACGGAGCTTTGAGGGACGATGATGGCACGTCGTCTTCGTCATGTTCTTCTTCTTCTTCTTCCTCCTCCTCCATTAAATCTTCCTGAGCTTCTTCTTCCATTGTCTTTTTTTTCTTAATTTATTTATTGGTTTATTTGATAAGGGACAGTGCACATTAATACAAACTGTATCTGTAGTCCCAAGAGGCAGATGTTATAAAGTAAAACCTAAAAACTGAATATAAGATTAAATTAACAAAGTTATGCCAATATTGACCCTTTTACAATGCGTGTACAAACAATGAAATAAGAGAGAATATTAATATAAAGTAGTATCATCATTCAGGAGACTCTTATATTACATTATTAAGTACTATATATATATATATGTATACTGGATATATATCTATTTACGAGGCAACGATACCGACAACGTCTTTATCACACCTCTGTTTCGTAGCGTTAGCTAAACTTAGCTAGCTAACTAACGAGCTGTTTCGATAAAAAAAATCGACATTGTCGTCCCTTCTGCTTCAACACGAAGAAACATGACAGCTCCGAGTCGTTTTCTTTGATAAATAAACGTGTCATCATGAACTGAAGTCCCTTAAATCCCGTGTTAGCTATTACAGGCTAGCTACATGTTAGTTTAGCTGGTGCGCTGCCCCTGACAACCTGCCTAACAACAACGGACAAAACTAACGACTGCAGAGAAGCCGTTGGTTCCGTTTCCGGTTGTACAGTGAAACCGTTAGCGGCCTCTAATGGTCAATGCCGGGGCAAAAATATGGTCTGAACCAGGACGGACCACTATATGGAAGATGTGGAATAAAAAGCCGATTTATATATTTTTACGTAAAGTTACTATGAGGAACTTTTAACTGGTTGTAAAACAGATGCAGTAAAATTCGAGGTTTTCTGAAGGGAGTCTGGTGCTCGGAAAACAATACCACTTTTGTCCACAGGGACCGCCAAAAACAACACCGAAATGAAAGTTCCTTGTAGTATCTTTAATTAAGTAAAAGTACCCATACAACAGTACTCTACTCGGAACTAGGACAGGTTCTGCGTTAAACATTCTACTTTAATAAAAGTACAGAAGTACTACACTTAGTAGGCTAGCTGTCAAAAAAATGTAGTGGAGTAAGAAGTGCAGTATTTGACTCTGATATGTGACATTAGTTAAGTAGCATACAATTAAATACTTACAATTACTACAAGTACCACAAAAAATGTCCATAAGTACAGTATTTTGATAAATATAGGCCTACTTTACACCACTGCACAGCACAGGAGGGGTTATTATTTTAATTCATACATCATTGTGTTATTAAATTGTTCAGTTTCATGCGATATTAATTTGATTAGCCTTCCCTTCATGTTACAGGGACATGGTTTAATTCTAGGCCGGATATATTCTTAAAGGAGAACTCTAACACTAAAGAATTGCATTTTAAAGTTGGAAACCAGGGTTATTTTAAAGTTTGGGAGACTACAGGAGTCAGATTTTTAAACTATTACACCGTCCCTGTCTCCTTAACCCTTCTAAACCGAACCCTCCGAATATCCTCCTCTTTCCAACCCGGCACCTCCAGTTTGTATGTTTACAAGCTACATTTTCCTCATACTGTAATAGAGCCTCTTTGTTATCGACAACTAACCAACCCTCAAACTGTGAATGATATTTAATAATATTCAGGAGGGATACTGTTTATCATTGTCAGGAGGTGGCGCCAATTGCCAAGTTTTATGAAGTTATGCCTCTATAAATCTGGACTTTAATTCCTGTACTTGTTACTTTTTTAGTCAATGAGATACATTTGCATTTGCACTTTGTTTAGCAAACAGAAATATCTGTTTTTATTTTTATTTGGAGATAAAACTGTTAATGTTTGTAAGAAAAAAAATCAGACGGGGAGCTGCAGTGTTAATAAATGACAGCTAATTTTACAGCCTCTTTACCTTAGTCGCTGTCATGACTTTAGTGCTGGTTAACAGTCAACTCACATACTTACCTAACTCTGACAGGCCAACTGGTCACAATCAGAGACACAAATAAGTGGATCTGCTTCTAATTGTTCTCTGGTCAGCTATAAAAAATATATAATTTAATGTAATGAAAGTATTTTTCACAGATATGATGGTTTCTATTGTGGGACTTGCCCCCATTGACTTCAACAGAACTGGATGACGTAACGACCCTTCCCTTCTTTTATTGGTTCCTCGCAAAGTAACCGGAAGTGAACTGGGACACATGTTTACTTTTCTTTATATATGTATATGTTGTGTAGTTGTGATCCTGACGGCTTTTTTTTATGGCATAGTTTCTGAACACGTGTTCTCCGTTTTGATATATTTTTTTTTACAGTATTTATAAAGCATTTAAACCTGCTTTTTAATATTTATAATAATAATATACAAGTTGACCCTACTCATCATGTGTTTACATTATATTTATAAACTTTGGGACCTCAGAAAAAAAAGATTTCAATAAAACGAAACGTGGCATCATACTGTGAAAATTCCGCAATTTTCGGCTTATGTATTATTCACAAGGAATTTCTCTGGAATGGGATTTTTGTATAATATAGGATGATTTCCCCCGTGACACTACCCCCCCCCCCCAAATTAATCTGTCTCACCCTTTTATTTATTTATTTTTACAAAGAGAGAGAGAGAGAGAGAGAGAGAGAGAGAGAGAGAGAGAGAGAGAGGGTTGGGGGTGGAGGTTAGAGAGTCTGTATAACCCCCTGCGGTCTTTTCCGGGATCACGCCACCGCTTCCACTCGGGATCCACAGCAGAGCAGCGATACATAGCTGATCATCCACCGGGCGGGACGGTGTGCTGTTTCTATATAAAAGACACATAACACTGCAGCATCACAGGGCGACACCCTGTATAACCCAGAGGATAAAGACACTCAAAGAAGGAGAAAAGGCAGTCTGCTGTGTGTCGTTTCCACAGCAGAAGGAGTTGGACGAACTTGTCGCAGTGGATTGGTCCCAGCGTGCAGCCTGGATTACCGGACACACGCGGAACAATCGTCTCCTGCAGCAGACACTCCAGCAGGTCAGTGGCGGCTGTATTCATCTTTATGTTTATGTCTTCTCTCCACGTTTTGGTCCCGTAATGTTGGGACCAAACAAACAAACAAGCACGAGCGTCCTGTAATCACCTGACACTGCAGGTGGAGGTATTTGGTTTTCCTGAAAACAAAATACATTTGCGTAAAAGTGGAACTGATGTTTTTATTCCGAAAATGGGGGATATTAAAGTGAGACCACAGCAGGTTAAAAGTGTGAAATAGGCATGAAGGCACCATGGACCCATAGTACACGTCTTTACATGAATATGTTCACCATATTACAACCGTATCGCAGCCGTTCCTCCGTGTAAATCCACCATCGTAACACCGGGATACCCTCTGAAACGAGTCCCATGGAGTGTGCGAGCCGGCCCGGTTGGTGGCTGTGTAACTTTTCTTTCCCCCTCCCCGCTTTGACTCTCCTCCTCCCGGATACTTGCGTCAGGAAAACACGGGGAGAGGAGGAACCGACCGACACAAACCAGCAAGAGAGGCCCCGGAGGGTTGAGAGGAATCTCTGCCGGGCAGGCCCGACACCAACTGCGTTTTTTTCTGTTGGATCGAGTCCCGTGATATTCATCGTGCCCGCTCAATGTGCGCTCTGCCTCCACAGTCACGTCTACGTTACGTGGAGATAATGTCCGGAGTCTCGAGCTCGTCCGTGAATGTGACACGTTTAAGTCCTTTTGGTCACGCAGCGTTTTGTCGAGAAAAAAACAAACTCGTGGATGTTCGCCGTGTTATCACCAACATATAACAGTTTATATCAAACAACATGTATCTGATCACTTCATCTATGTTGGGAAACATCATTTAGGACTAAATTATTCATGTCCATCTCTGTGTGGGATGTCCGGATTGAAGAAATCACGCGCATCCATCAAAGCCTCTGCGAAAAATCTCCCTGATGACCTCACTAATGAGCTGTGTGTGATTTATATCTGAACTGTGTTATTACCGCGGTGACAGCTGCACTACAGTCTGGGTGAAGGGCCTCGTTACACCCCGAGCTATCATACTGAATATCATGACTTTTGTAACCTATTGTATGTTTTTGATTTATTTTCTGAAAGTGTAATTCCTCAAACCATGTACTGATCACAGGACGCACCTGTAGGTGTGAGTTCTAGTGTAAATGTCACCAGCTGTTCACTATCCGCTCAAATGTTTATGTTTAACCAGAAAACGGCCTCGCTGAGAATAAAATGCTCTTTTACAGAAGTGTCCGGGTTAGTAACAATAATAATTACACTAAATAATTAAGTTTTGGTTGTTATTTGTTATCATGTAGACCCCATAAAATAAAAGTGCTCCCCGTAGGAGAACCCTTTTTAGTACCTGGTAGAACCTTTTTGTGTATGTTCCACGTGGAAACTTTTCAGGCGGCTCCTCTTAGTCCTCTTAGTTATACTAAAAACTATCTGTGAAAAGTTCAACCCCTATGCAGGGTTCTAAAGAGACATGGTGTAAGGGTTCCACCCAGAGCACTCTCTTGGGGTTCTATCCAGAACCTTTCAACCTTCCAAGGGTGTTAACAAGGACCCACTTAAGGTTCTCTAGAGAACCCTTTTTATATTCCAAGGGCTTCATTAAAATCCCACCCAGGGGGTTTTGTCGAGAGCCCTTTTCTTTTTCAGGGGTTCCATATAGAGCCCACTCGGGGTTCTTCGTGACTCCTTAAAGGATCAGGGCTGATGTGGTTCAACCCACAACGATCATGGATCACAATCCCAGTTCTTGGGTTCTGTGGCTTGGAGAATCCTTTAACACTCATTCTTTCAATAACCCTCGAAGAACTCTTTCATCCAAAGACCCAACCTTCAGTGGAACCATATCCTGATCATACGATCAAATCACGAGCTTCATGACCGACTCAAAGCTAATCGTACATGTTTACATTCACATGTGAGAAAAGTTGGAACGATTAAACAGCTGAACGGCAATTTGATGACGTTAAATGTCATTATTTCAGACATTTGCAATAGTGATATGAGAGGAATGTTCAGTTTTAATATTGTGATATTGATTTCAGCCACATCATCTGTCACTAAGTGATGTTATGGAGACCTTTGTCTGACCCCTCTGATCCAGACCTCCCCCAAATCATAATGACACTCGCTTCTCCTCCTCCTCCTGTGAGTGGAATCTCTAGGCTACGAGATTGTGAACTGGGCCTGTAGCAGCATCATCATAGTCCAAGTCATGTGACATAACAAGCTGCTCTTATTCACAAATAAATAACACAGACTTCTCTTCAAATAAATCCTCCTGTTGTAGGCAATGAGCAAAAACAACGCTTTCTGGAACATGTGGTAAAACTATTGATAAAGTACGCGGTTACGGTGACACTAGATTCTATGGTAACAGTGTTACTACCGTCCTACTCTCCTCAGTGACTCATGACTTCAGCTTTGGTTTGGTTGTAGAGTATCGCTGTGTCCGTTAAAACCTCGGGATGTTGCATTTCGTGTCCAAAGTGTGCAACATAGCGCAAAAGCGAGTAGGGGCGCAAATCCTTAAAATGCTTCCGTATTTGTATCCATATTCGGCTGCTCAAGCTCACCAAAACTCTGCTCGTACTCAGCCTAGTTTAGACTGTTGCATTCAGGGGCAGTGTACTCAGCCTAGTTTAGACTGTTGCATTCAGGGGCAGCGTACTCAGCCTAGTTTAGACTGTTGCATTCAGGGCAGTGTACTCAGCCTAGTTTAGACTGTTGCATTCAGGGGCAGCGGTAAAGAACAGACAGCCCGGTGTCACAGAATTGTTTCAGGCGATCTTAACGTTGAGAATTGAGTTTTAAATGTCCGATTGTTGAGTTCTGTGGATCGAGTCATCTAAGAATCCTTGTGTTTTTACCCCTCGTCTTTTCCCAGTCTTGTGTTTATTCATTCATCTAAACTCGTGAGATATTACGTGACAGGAAAGATGCTGAGGAGGAGCCGCTGGGCATGGAAGGAGAACGGACAACTTTTTGGTTTAAGTTTGTGTGGGTGTGTGTGTGTGTAGGATTCTGTAGTTGGGCAGATTTGTGCATTACTCATGCATCCTCAGGCCGCCGTGCCAGGCGGTGATTTGGAGTGCCACTGAGTGCCTATTCCACTCTGCCACCGTGTATGTGAGTGCATGCATGCGTATGAGTCATGTGCCACTGAATTGTAGAAGAATGCTTGTTTGTTTGTCATGAAAAGGACATAAAGAGGAGAACAGGAGGAGAGCCAATATCTGACAGCATCAGATCATGGCTTCGTTCTCTGTGTGTGTGTGTGTGTGTGTGTGTCTGTGTGTGTGTGTGTGTGTGTTTCTCATAACTAGTAACTAGCGAGCACCTGGGCGCGACATAACGACCTGTTTCCATCTTTGTGTACTCAGGTTCATCCGTTCTTTTAGCTCCTAAAGAGGCAAAGCTGGCCGAGGAATCCCAGAGCAGGATTACATGCTGCAGCACAGAGTGGTATCCCAAGCACTGGAGGGCTGCAAGTTAGCTTCATAGCTGTGTGTGTGTGTGTTGAGATAGATGTGAATTGTGAATTCTCAGCTCTCTATCTCTGTCTCTCTCTCTCTCTCTCTCTCTCCTTTCTTCTGCTCACCTCAGAGATGGAAAACTGTGGTTCCAGCCTGGGCCTGTAACCTAGCAACCCAAAATGGTGCGTGTCTTAAATGAATCTGACTGTGCGTCCTCCTCAGGAGCGTGTCAGTTCACCTCACCTCCGTGCAACCACACAAAGCACACAAATAACTTTACTACCTCCATCACCGACCCGTCACTCGTTCGTTTTATTGCACAGCTGATTGCTATATTTTGCTCGTAGTGTCTTTCTGAGGGAGTGAGAGCGGCCTGAGTCATCTGGAGTGGGTTCCCTCTGTTTAGTGGGAGTTGTGCATCAGAGCTGTTCGCGGTGGGCCGGGTGTCTGCTGAGCCCGGAGCCACATGTCTCAGCTCACTCGTCACACTGCCACGTCCATCTGCACCACACGAGACTCAGACATCCAACGCACGTTCATCCAGCGCTTTGTTCTCCCTGGAACCTTTTGTTGTTCTTTTACAAGTTGACCAACACGATACACTTCGACATGTCTTACATTACCCTGAAGTGTAAAAGTCTTTTAATCCCCTTTCCCCACTGGACATAAGAAACCCCCCCACTAACATCTGGCTTTTGTCTTTAGTGGGAAAAGTTACAATTGCATTCGCTAGTGTTCGACTTTGATACTACACCTTGAAAAACTGTCAGGCTATTGATGGCATAACATGTTAGATTTTTATTAAAAGATAAATAGCATGTGTGTGTTTCTACTCGCTGTTGCAGAGAAGAGAGAGCAGAAAGCACAGCTGGTACCCGTCGCCGGTACTTTGGAAAATGAGTGTGGAATCTCTTTCAAATATTCACTTGCACACTTGACCATACAGAGACCAGGAAGGTACCACCTTCACCTCATTTTAAACCAGGCTGAGTGAGGCCAATGTGTGTCTTAAAGCTGCATTCTCTCTAGTGTCCACTATATGGCGTCTCTACGTCACTCCTCCTCAGTCCAAATATGGTCACTTCCTGTTCACTGGTTGCATAAAAACAACATGGAGATGGCCGTAATCCAAGATGGCGACGGCGACTACGTCCACTTCTTATACAGTCTGTGGTACTGATCCGAGACCAGTGTTTACTGAGCTGTGTGTCTATATGTTAAAAACCCTGATCACTGAATGAAGCCGCGCCTTTACTTTGTTTACACAAAACTTATATTGCAGCAAAGATCAAAAACTCACAGAAATATTAATGTAGCATAAAGAAATTAAAGTCACATTAATGCAGCTGTCGGGCAGACGTACACGAATACGTGAACAGATAAAAGAGCAGCTAAAATGAATGCACAGTGATACTAAAAGTCTGGCTTCTAATCGGATATTCTTTAAAAGCAGATGCAGAAAGTTTTCAAACTAAGTACCAATAAATATCTCATTAGTTCCCACAAAAATGACTGTTTGCTTATTTTCTCATAGTTGTTTACAAGTCAGACTACACCTGATTTCATCATCCTATGAATAAAATAGGATATCTCAGCTCCATATATAACACACTGTGGTACCCTGAAGTGTTTCTCTCTATGAGCCGCCGGGTAATGAGACTCCAGCTGCATTACTGCTCACGCTAATCCAGCAGAGATAAGGTGAGGACTGTGAAATTAGTCATTAGTGTGTGTGTGTGTGTGTGGACATCCTGATGCAAGCCTAAGTGTGTGTTCATGATAACACTGGTCTGTATTTATCTGCGTTATATTACCGGCCGTTCCCCCAATAATGTGACTCATTTATTCCCAATGACGAGGAGGAACCCGGCCTCCTCGTCCGAGCGGTCTTCTTCTGGAGGGAAGTCTGGGAAAAACATGCAAATGAGGGGGGAGGGCGATTCGTTCCGTACTGATAATCCACGGGGTGATATGGAATGAATGTGAGTCGCTCTCCTTTCGTTCCGTTTGTTCTCTTTTTTTTAAACTTTTGTTTTTGTTTCGTCTTGGAGAAACTGGCTGAGGTGGGAAACCGCATCCAACCGTGCTCATGTAAACTGACAGAGGCAACGTTGCTAGCAACGGATCTTCACCTCAGAGCATCTTCTAGTGGACAACAAAAAAAAGGCCAGTCCTGCTGAGCGAGGATCGCTGGGTTTGAATTCCCTCAGAGGGTTAGCTGACTGAAAGACAGAGCGCCTGAAAGGATGAATGGCTTTTGTTGAAGCCTCCAAGGTTGGACACAAAGAGAAAGAGAGAGTGTGTGTGTGTGTGTGTGTGTGTGTGTGTGTGTGTGTGTGTGTGTCAGCTCTTATGGGTCAGATAGAAGTAGAAGGGGGACAGAAATACTCTGCCGTAGATGCCTCTACCTCCAGGCCAGTACAGCAGAGCGTAGAGGAACACACACACACACTGTGAGAAGACAATCCGAACTGTAAACCATTCGGATTCATTTATTTGTAAATATACATGTATATGGAAATGTGTATCTGGCGTTTTGTTCCTTTTTTCTTTTTATATCTGCCGTTTAGATCGCTTTGTAACTGCTGCTCATTTTAATAAGTATTATATAAATTATTATTATAAACCACACAAGATAAGTTTTTAGATTGAAGCTTAATTTCACAACGTGAGACTAATAGCCAACAATCTAGGTCAAATATTACAATTACACAGAAAAGTAGGATTTTCTACAAAACGTGCTGTTTGATGCCAAAATAAGAGCCAATCAGCTCTTGGCTCAGGGGACAGCAAACTGGAAACTGCGGCCGCCTCGATGTCGTGAGTTTATTGTTGATCACGTTTGCATGACGTCAGAGCAAGTCGGGATCGAGTCGCACACAAATCTAAGCGGCATGCGTGAAAAGATTTACTGGCTCAGCGGCTAGAGCGGGTCTTCCTGCTGCCACAAGGTTGGTGGTTTGATCCCCGTCTCCTACTGTCCGCTTGTCCTTGAGCGAGATGCCATACAGCAGCTCACTGCTCCCAAAAATGAGTATTATTTAACCCTCAGAACCCCGAAACCCGCTGACAGGATCGAAAAGTTTGCTTTAAACAGATTCTGTAAAACACATTAAATTCTGAACTCCTCAACGGAACTATGAAGCCATGATTGACTTTGCTGAGACCAACAGTCATGTGACAACAAATCAGGGAAACTTTGACTGAACTTCAGGCTGCTGAACACGGAGAGGCGAGGAGAGGCGAGGCTGAAGTAGAGGATGTAAAAATGGAAATAGTTCAATATTTACAGCATGTAAAGCCTCCATGTTTTTCCTACATTGGTAACACCTGTGAACAAAAATAATGGATGTTCCAGTGTTTTCCAATTTTTGTAAAATACATTATCACAGAAATTCAACTTGCGTTTTTTTTCTTTTTTTATGATATATGTCATTCTAACTGTGTTATTCTGCACTAAAGACGTGTTCTAGTTCTCTCTACTTCTAGTCATGATGGTTCTGTTTCCATAGAGGAGCAGAACTTTATATTACAGAGAACATCAAGGCTGCAGAGAGAGAAATGTGACAGGAGCAAAGACTTTCTTGGGGGTTTCAGAGGGTTGAATGCAGCGGTAAAATGTCTGTATGTAAATGAAAACTGTGATAAAGTTTGAGTTTTAAAGTTTTTTTTTTTCTGTGCACCTGGCTCATCTCAAACAAATAAGTAAGCGGAGTGAACGGCAGGAGGGTTGAGAAATAAACTACAAACCTGATCATGCAAAAGTCTCGTCTTCCTGTCTGAACTTCAGTGAGCTTCCTGTCAGTCATCAGGGAGCGCTGCTCCTCTCTGAGAACCTCCAGGGAGCTGCACAGTCCGACATTTACATGTTGTTTTGCGTGTTTTGTTTTGTTGCTCTCTTTCTCTCTCTGTCGGCTCCCTCGTGTTTGTTATTCTGCTGTGTTTGCACTTGGGATCCATAACAATGAGAGCACACGCTGCGTGAGCAAACACAACCATCGGAGCTCCAAAAAAATAATAAACTAGAAAATGCGCCGAGGCTGCAGTGCAGTAGTTTCCCCGTACAATGAAGATCAACGGGGACTGGGCGTGGATCTAGCTGGTGATGGTTCTAATGAAAAACAATGAACCTGGTAATGATGATGGTGGTTGTCCCTCCCCCTTTTTTCAGGCCCGTGGGCCCCGGTGGTGCTGTCAAGAAGATGGACAGGATGAAGATAATCAAGCGGAGGCTGTCCATGTCTCTACGCAGCGCTCGGCCCGTCGACGACTCGCTGTCAGAGCTGGCAGAACAGATGGCGCTGGACGAGCCGAGCGCCGGCAGGGACGACGGTGAGACACACACAGGTAAAAACACAAGAACCCTGAGCAGACGCCATCACACGGCGTGTATACGTACCAAACATCAACCACGGCATCTCAGAAGGAAGAGCTTTTTTAGAAAGGGGGAGCGAGGCGCCGTGTGTTGTTGTGGTTATGATGGAGAGTGATTGTGTCACCTTCATGACCCTCTTGGGGAGTCGCACAGTGATTAGTTTGACTCCAACATCTGTTACGGCCGACGTCTTACCACACAGGAGCAGACGAGGAGCGTTATTAAAGAGTAGTTTGTCATGTGATGCGCCAGTTCAACACCTTAAGAGGAGACACACTACAGCTCCTGTCTCTTCCTTCAGACTAGTGGAAAGGGAACATCCAAAACACACATTCAGGTGTTTATTTTACTACTTTGTCTGTTCACGTCTCTATATTTCTCCTAAAGTTACCATTAGATAATGCCTCATTTGCATATTTAAACAACCTTTCAGAAAACGTATTGTCTTAATGTCAGTAATCAACAGGGGAAGTTTCATGCTGATGTATATTAGTTCTTTAAGTGCATAAAGCTTTAAATAATGTGGGGGAGAGATTTAAAACAGAAGTCATAACTGATCATCGCAGGACGTCTGATGTTGAGCTGTCTATTTATGTGTTGATATGTATTAATACTCTCATTAAGGCATGCAGACATGTAAACTGACACCTGAGCTTTTTCAACTCACCCTCGTCATCTTCACCTCATCGTCACCATCACTTTTTTTTGTTTTCACTTTACCATCACGACTAAGAGGAGAAGTTAACGTGTGAATTAACAGGTATGAACATGAGCTCTTGTATCAAAGTAGAAGGGAAATAAAAAGCAACGTCATTCTCAGAAACTCTGGCTGCCATCTGCTGGGCATCCTCCAGTGCTGCAGGGCCCCTCTGTGGGAAGACCTCACCTGACTGTGTGTGTGTGTGTGTTTGCATCCTATCCAGCTCCAAACAGAAACCAGATCACGACTCCGTTTCAGCAGATGCTTTGTTTGAGAGTAAAAAGAGAGACAGGAAGTGAGAAAAGAAGAAAAGTCTGAGCTGTGTTTTTAGTCTGCAGAAAGAAGCAGCAACATTTGTTTCTTTGTCACTGGTTGTTCCCCTACCTGATTAATCTCACTGCCATCTCCGTCCTTTTTTACATCCTTCTCTTTAGTCTTTAATAGCTCACGCTATGTCAGGTCATTTCCAGAGAGAGTAGAGATGGAGGAAGTGATGTAGAGGATGAGGAGAGGGACATTAAACTTTAACCACTACATCTGGTACATCTCCTCTTGTCCTTTTTCCTTTGCTGCATCGCCCTCCCCGACCCGCACATCTCTATATATCTTAGTCACGCTGTGCTAAAGAGACACTCCCCACATTTCTCACAGAGCTAATTAGTTTGACTTCTTGCACTGTGTTCTTTGAGGTTTGTTACTGGAGGCGAGACTGTGAGGATTTAAGAGGAAAAAGAACAATAACTAAACCTGCATTTTTTTTTTTTAGCTGAAACCCAATATTGTGTGTGTGTGTGTGTGTGTGTGTGTGTGTGTGTGTGTGTGTGTGT